GGATCGTTTGAAGCAACTTCTTCCTTTACAAAAATTTTCTCCGAGGCACCGTTAACGAGTTATTAACGAAAAACAGTGACCAATAAGAATCGAGTACGGCTGACGCGAGGCGGCCAAGCCAACCACCGCACGAAGCCCAGTTCCGCTCATTGGCTCGGTCGCCTCGCGCCTGCCGAGCTCGCCTCTTATTGGTCACAGTTTTTCGTTAATAACTCGTTAACGGTGCCTCGGAGAAAATTTTTGTAAAGGAAGAAGTTACTTCAAGTGATCCAAGGAACCTGCCATTTCCGGATTGCGAGACATTTTTGGGATACCCTGTATATGCGAAAATATATGCGACAATATGTGTGAAAATATGCAACGAGTAATTAACTAAAGAAATATTGAAGAAATTGTAACGTCAAATGTGCCGTAAGAATAAGAAAAGAATGTGAAAAATATCGGAAGAACGCCCTCGATGCTAACTACAGTCCTCGCGCGACAAGAAGGCACCTTTCTGTCGACATTCCCCCCTCCCTCTTTCTAGTTGCTCCACTGCCGCGGTTATCGCGGCTACTGGCCGAGGACGGTGATGACGTGGATCGCCGTTGGCCAATAGCGACAATGGAACAATAGCTGCGGCAATGGGAGAGCCACTAAGAGGGGGAATGTAGACAGAAAAGTGCAAGGACTATAAGGTGTCTCAAAATTATTGCGAGAAAATTAAGCGAGAAGTGAAGTGTTCCTGAGGTCATTCCAAGCAACTTTTTCCTTAGCGAAAATGCAATTCGCGGCTTCGTTTACGAGTTATTAGCGAAAAACAGTGATCAATGAGAGGTCGCGCACGGCCGGCGCTCCGCCCTTGCGGCCAATGCGCGTCGCGCCGGCCGCCTGGCGCAGCGGTAATGCGCACTAGGGCGGGGAGCGAGCCGCTCGCGATCTCTCATTGGTCAGCGTTTTTCGTTAATAACTCGTAAACGAAGCCTCGTAGAACATTTTCGCTAAGGAAAAAATTGTTTCAAATCACCTCAGGAACTCCTCATTTCTCGCTTGCACGATAATTTTGGGACACATCTTGTACACCTCGTGCAAGCTTCGGAATGTACTGTTGTCGCAACGCTGTACGAATTAACTGTTGTTAAATCGATTACCGTGCTCCGAAAGTCGTGACTCCTCTCTGTAGGTACGCGGCTCGTCAGCCTCGGTGGATCGGCTGTCGGCCGGATGCTTCAGGATCGGCTTGCCCTGCTTCAGATCCGACTGGATGTCGCTGACGAATTTCTCGGTTTTCGACTTGAAGCTGCTGGTCATGTCGCTCATGTGACGCGACGCGACGTCTGCGGATGTTTCAGAGTTTTCGTGTTACGGGGAGGCGAGAGCGATCTTGCGAGCGGCGTACGAGCAAGCGAAGGAGGAGAATGATAGACGCGGAAAGTTAATCGTGAGAAGACGATGTCGATGTGCCGACCAGTCGAATGAAAGTATGCTATAGCCGGAGAATGAAAGAGACGGCGTTCTGTTCTCTATGCGAGCCGTTTAACGCTAGATTTTCTGATTTTTAGCGGCAAATGTTGTTGCAATATTTGCCGCAAATAATAACAAATACATGATGCGATAACAGATATGATATCTTTACAATGCGAATAATTAAACAATTGAAAAGTTATCTTCTCAAAACTCGTCGTTTCGACGGGTCCCGTAAACCTAGCGTAACAGCAAAAGTGTTGTAAGTCAATCTTTGTTGATTTAATATTATAAAATCGTATTCTTTTTTATCGTTATTATTTAATCGTATCAAGTCGAAGCTCGAAACAGGCTCGCATAGAAGAGTGGTAACGATCATTCACGTTATCGCGTTTCACAGAACTTTAAACTCGTTCTCCGTTATCCAGAAATTACCTTTTTCACTTACAGCATTTCCGCTTTTTCCGCGGCTCGCGTATTTCTAAAATCTAATCGCGATTGCGCGTTCCCTCGAGTGTCGCGGGATGCCCATCGATGACGTCGCGGCGGAGCAGTCGCGCGGAGTGGGGGCAGAGAGCAGCAGAGCAGCCAGGTACGCTCCCGCGTGCGCGATTGGCCGCGTCGACTGTGCTGCCCTCTGGCGCAGCTCCGCCCGACTGCCCCCACCCCGCGGCGCCGCCGACAGACGTCGCGCGAGATCCGAGGGAATGCACGGTAACGGTGACTTCCTGCGCCACCGAATAACCAGGAAACCCGAGGGAACGGACGGCCGTTCCACGCCTCTCCGAAACGAACGACGTCCCGAGTTCCCGAGTTCCGGTCCCGAGTTGCTCGCCGAGTGCTCGTCGAATCGGTCCGACGAAGTAAGAAAAGCATCCTGCCGCCGGCGATAAAGCATGCGATGCAACAGAGACATTGTCGAGATTCTTACGGTTGGCGGCCCTCTTCACGTCGGTCCTCGAAACGAACCCGAACTCGGGCGGAGAGCCAGGCTTGAGCTCCTGCTGCCTCGGTTCGGAGTCCCTCTTGATCCTAGCCTCGGACTCGGTCTTTCTGCGACCTACGTCCTTCAGCTGGCTCATCGAGGTCTGTCTCTTGAGAACGGCCGCGGCCGGGCCCCGGTCGAACTCCATCGGCGACACCACGTGCTCCTGCCGGACCGGCGCGCTCGACGACCTCGGCGACTTGGCGGCGGGCGGCTGAACCTTCCTGTACCTGGGCTCCTCGGTGTCGCTGTCCGGCGGCGCCCACTTCGGCCTGATCCTGGTGTCGATGTCGCTCTCATAGTCGGACTCGCGGAACTGGCCCTGCACGAACTTCTTCGGGACCGGCACCTTGTACTGCGGCCGCTGCCTCTCGAACCCGGCGAACTCGGCGGCGCCGGTCTTCTGGCCGTCGCCGAACTTGATCACCCGGCTGGTCTGCTCCATCGTCACGATCCGGCGGCTGTTCTCGGTCGACTCGTCCATCCGTACCGTCTTCTTCGTCTCGGTGCCGATCGCGTTGTGGAACGGCACGCCGGACCTAGCCTCGTAGTAGGTCGGCTGCGGCTGCGGCTGGACGTGCGGCTGACGCTGAGGCTGCGGCTGCGGCTGACGGTGAGGCTGCGGCGGCGCGTACGCCAGTTCCGGCGGCGAGCCTGGCAAGAGGACCGTTTTCGGCTTGGTCGGCGTAGCGGCACGTTTCTCCTCCCTCTTGGCCAGCTCCTTCGATCTCTGCTCGAGCGAAATCTCTTCGATCAGCAGCGCCGGCGAATCCTTCGGTTTTCCTATCGGGAGAAAATAGTCGCCGGTGATCGACCACGGTGACTCGGCGGACCGGCTCTCGCGCCGAGACGATGAAAACGGAGAGAGAGTGGGGGCTGACGGTGCTGCCATCTGGCGATCGACCGACCGGTTTCACGCGACGTTGGATCGAATCGGCGTCGTCTCGGCGAACGAATTTCGAGCGGCGGCGGTGATCGTGCGTCTCTTCGTGCTTTCGATCAGTTTTTCTGTTTTGTTTTGTTTGTTTGTTTTTTTCGTGGGGGAGTAGCTCTCTCGATCGACGGACGCGACTCTTCGATATTTTTATCTCCCTTTATCGGGGGCTCCTCAGATGCTTTCGGATTTCTGCGCGACGTTTCGCTTTATTGTGTTTCGAGAACGAAGGTGAAACCAGCGTGACAGTGAGACAGGCGAGACATACGTGGAATAAGGAGAAGAAGAAGAAGAAGAAGAAAAAGAAGAAGAAGAAGAAGGCGGGTTAGCCACGAGCTGGCAGGGTGAAGAGAAAAGCAGGGGGGAAGGGTTTGTAGTACGTACTTCGAGCGGCCGAGAAGAATAGAGAGAAGCAAGCGAAGCGGGAAGAGAGGAGAACTTGTCTTGCGAGGTAAACAACGAGAGGGGAAGAAAGCTTGCCAGGAGGACTACTTGTTGTAAGCTGGAAAAAAGTCGAAAATTCGTGAGACCCATTGCCGCGGGTATGTACGCCTGTTATTGTTCTTGTTCTTGTTGTTATTGTTATCATACTAGCGAGTTTCGTCGAAAGCCAATTCTCTTTCGGCGAATCTATAGGGTGTCCCAAAAATGTCTCGCAATCCGGAAATGGCGGGTTCCTCGGATCATTTGAAGCAGCTTCTTCTTTTACAAAAATTTTCTCCGAGGCACCGTTAACGAGTTATTAATGAAAAACAGTGACCAATAAGAATGGAGTGCGGCCGACGCGAGGCGGCCCAGCCAACCAGCGCGCGAAGCCCAGTTCCGCTCATTGGCTCGGCCGCCTCGCGCCAGCCGAGCTCGCCTCTCATTGGTCACTGTTTTTCGTTAATAACTCGTTAACGGTGCCTCGAAGAAAATTTTTGTAAAGGAAAAAGTTGCTTCGAATGATCCGAGGAACCTGCCACTTTCGGATTGCAAGACATTTTTGGGACGTTTGCAGAGTCAAGCGAAGTGTAACAGCGAAATTGTTGAGAAGAAGTTGATTATCGATTCCCATAAACGAAAGAGTGCGCCGAGTGATCGAAAATGGACGAAAATAGTTTTTATTAAATTAATTCTGAATCGACCGGTTCCTCAGATTATCGTGCAAGATATTTCGACGGAAACAGTACTTTTTCTTAAAACTTTGCAGACACGGCGCCTTTTGTTCGCGCAGCTCTATTATCGCTTTATCGCAACAATGAAGAAGAAAGTTCTATTAAATATTAGTGCCCCATATTTTTATTACATAAAAGCACAAAAATGTAATTAATTTAAAAGAACTTTGTCTTTCGAAAGATCGTGTAACGCGATACAAAATTCTCACTATTAAATAGCAGCAAATGACTTGCAACCGTTTTGCAAAATTTGCCAAATGCGGACATTAATAATTAATTACCGTTTCGCTTCTTATAAATAAATTACCGTTCAACTTGCCGAGCGCGTCAATGAGAAGAAGAGCATTTAGAATTGAAGCATTATAATTCGATATCTAAGAGAGTATATTTCAATTTCAGAGGTCCAATGAATTCGACTAATTAATAAATAATAATATCTCTTTCGAATCACACGGTTCCTAGATCTTACCGGTTATCTATTGTTTTTTTTTCTTTTTTACCGACTATTTCATAAATTGTCGCGGCACAGTGATTACGATCTAATTTATTGAGATTCGTAAATACCTGGACCAGCGAGACTAGGTTTCACGGGTCTGAAAGACTGATCGTCGCTTTCGTAGCCTCTCGGCTTCCACAGGGTCGGTATTCTGCCGTCGTAGTCGCTCTCGTAGTCGCTCTCACGATATTCACTCTTCACGAATTTCGAAGGACTCGGGGACGGCGGCAGAATCTTCTTCGACGTCTCCAACTTCTTCTGCGACTGATCCGCGGAGTAGACGGTTTCCTGGAAAACGGTAACACGGAACGTTGTTCAAACAATTTCACCGTTTCGTGCGGCACAAAAATTTCTTTGATACAGGCGACGCAAAAATTTTCGTTCGTGCGCAAGCAACGAATGCTATCACACGCGACTATCGTTAATAAACAATGCCTTCTCAAAATGTTATAATTCGTTTATTTCGACGAACTGTAAACTCGATTTAACCCTTTCACAGGCACTGGAAATTAGGCTTCCCGCCCACTTTTAGCGCGACCACATATGGACGCCAGGCTCAAATATTTCCACCGTTGAAACTTGCTGCCATTTGTATAGGATATCCCAAAAATGTCTCGAAATCTGCAAGTGGGAGGTTCCTCGGGTCATTCGAAGCAACTTTTCCCTTAGCGAAAATGTTCTACGACGCTTTGTTTACGAGTTATTAACGAAAAACAGTGACCAATCGGAGAGCGAGTGCGGCCGATGCTCCGCCCTCGCGGCCAATGCCGCGTCGCGCCGGCCGTCTGGCGCGGCGGCAGTGACCACTAGGACGGGGCGTCAGCCGTGCGCGATCTCTCATTGGTCAATGTTTTTCGCTAATAACTCGTAAACGAAGCCTCGTAGAACATTTTCGCAAAGGAAAAAGTTGCTTCAAATGACCCGAGGTATCTCCCGCTTCCAGTTGCGAGACATTTATGGAATACCCTGTATATTGGTTCCATCACTCTTGATTTTGAGGGGGGAAAAATTAGAAATAACAGCTGTATTACTATATGATAAAATTCCAATTTCTGAAAATTCATATCGGTTCCATGAAAGGGTTAATAATACGACACATGTGTTAGAGACAATATTCGCCACTGATTCCTGCGAAAATCAGACGGCTGAGCTATCATCATTCCTAGCAGTCCTGGGTTAGAAACAAACCAAACAATTCACGCGAAAACGCAAACGTTGTCCGGATTAATCCTGAAAGATTCCGCAGAAAGGCAAGCGCTAATTCGCAGCAACCATGCTCGAGGACTTGCTCGACGCAGAGGAGCCGAGATGGTTAGTTCCGCGGACAATGGAAGCGACGGACACACACGACACGCTGTCGAACCTTCGTGGACGCGTATCTCGACGGCGAGCTGCTCGAGGAGCCGTAGCTTTTCTCCAGGAAGCAGCTGTGCTGCTGATAGCCGGCGGCTGATGACGGAGCAGGCTTTGAAGCCGGGGCGACTGGCGCCGGAGGAGCAAACGAGTCGGTCCTCTGCTGTTGCTGGCGGCTCTCGTAGCTCTTGCTCTGGAAGAACTCCGACCGGCTCTCCGAGTAAGAGGACCGGGACTCCATGTGGGAGCTGCTGGAGGAGGACTCGTGCTTGCCGAAGCTCTTCTGTATGGACGCGACGGAGCTCTTCTGATGGAAAGGCTCGTCGGTGTCGGCCATGTAACCGCTCTCCTGCTGGAAGGTCTTGACCTTGAACTTTGGAGACTCGGGCTTCTTCACCGTGGGACTCTTGGCCGCCGGCTGCACGTAGATGGGAGGGGAGCCTGGCTTCAGCTCGATAGGAGCCGGCTGGACCACCTGGTACTTCTGTTGCTGTTGTTGCTGTTGTTGCTGTTTGATCTCCTTCTCCTGCCTCTTGACGGTGGTTTGTCTCTTGCAGGTCTCCAGGTGTTCCTTGCTGATCGTCGACGTGGACAAGCCTGTCGGCGGAACCTCGAACTTCGAGGGAGGCAGAGGCTCCGGCTCGGTGGACCTCGGCCTGGCCGGCTGCGCGGCGACCGGAGCCTGCACTCGACGATATCGCGGCTCCTCGCTGTCGCTCTCGTAGGGCCGCCACTTGGCCTTCAAGTGACCGTCCATGTCCGACTCGTAGTCGCTCTCCTGGCCGAACGAGCCCTTCACGAACTTGCTGGGAGTCGCCGGGGGAGCTATCTTCGCCGCCTTGGCCTGCTGCGGCGCAGGGACAGGCTTGAACGGGAACGGCTCCAGAGGCTCCGCAGGAGGCGGCTGCTTCGCAGGAAGCGGCGGCGGAGTCATTCGAACGTCCTTGGGTGGCAAGGCCGGCGGCTGTTCCTCTCTTCTAGGCGCCGGGGAGACGGTCCGGATCGCCGCTGGTGCCGCCTTCGCCGGCTGGTACTCGCGAGACGCCTCGAAAGTCTTCTCGAACTTCTCCGTCCTCTTCTCAATCGTGACCGGCCCCGGCATGTATCCGATTTCCGGCGGCGGGCCAGGCTCCAGCACGATCTGATCCAGAACGGCGGTCGGAATCGGCTCCGGCGGATGGTAGATCGGCGCCGCGGGCCTCTTCGGCGGCTCCACGCTCCTGACCAGCCCCGGAGCCTTCAGCTCGTCCCCGGCCGACCACTTCTTCGAGCTGAACTGCTCGATCTTCTCAGACATCTCCGACTTCTTCACGTCGCACTCGCTCGAGTACTTCTCGAACAGCGACTTCTCTTCCATCTTGTTCACCGTGTGGTCGACCTTGATCGTCTCCGCGTTGTAAATGATCGGTTGGACCCTAGGCGGCGACGGCGCCCGCTTTGTCATCTTCTCCAGTTTCTCCGTGGCCTCCTGCTTCGTGCTCCAGGACCGTCTCTCCGTGCTGCTCGTCGACTCCGTGCTGATCCTCTTGATCCCGCCGTCCGGCGTCTCCTCCACCTCCCGCCTGGACTCTTTAGTTGAGGTCTTGTAGTCCTCCGCCGGCACCTGCCACTCCTGCTTGAACTTGGCGTCCTCCTGCGGCGGCCAGGACTTCCTCGACGAGTCAGCGCACTTCTTCGCCCAGGACTTCTCCATGGCGAGCGCGTCCGCCGATGGTCGAGGCGAGGACGACCTCAGGATTTCCTGGTGACTGGAGGCGGCCGAGTGACACCTGTACTCGGACAGGTCGGTGGACACATGCGACCTCGTCTCCACGTCCGAGGACGAGGACCACGGCCTGCCGGGCGACGCGGGCCTCAAGCTCGGCGCGAAGTCCTTCTTCTCGTGCGCGTCCCTCTTCACGCAGACCTCCTCCACCACCTCCTTCTTGTCGAGCTCGAACGGAGGCGGCGGCACCGAGAACGTCGTCGCGGGCTTCACCGGTTCCGGGAGCCGCGGCGACGCGGTCGGGAAGATCTTGACGCCGCCGATCGGCGCGTCTACCGGGGACAAGGTCTTCTCGAACGACTCCTGCAGCTGCTTCGCCTTCACCGACACGTCCGGCCGCTTCTTCTTCGCCATCTCTTCCGGCTTCGGCATGTAGCCAATCTCCGGCGGCGGCTCCGGCTTCAGCTCGAACCCTGTCATCAGCAGCTCCGACTTGCTCTCCGTCTTCGATGTCATCAACGAGCCTTGGAAGGACGACGACCCGGAGCTGATCGTCTCCTGTATCGTCGTCTTCTTCGTCTCCACCGGCGCCGGCTTGTAGCTCTCGTACGGGAAGTCGAACAGCTTGTTGTCCACGCCTCGAGGAGGGCCGCCCGCCTGCTCCAGCTTCGTGAAGATCTCGTGCACCGCCTTCTTCGTCGCCTGCAGCTCCGGCGGACGCGGCTCCGGCTTCTTCACCTCCTGGTAGCTCGTCTTCTCGTAGCTCTTCGTCAGCCGGCCGACCTTCGCCTCCCGGCCGTCCGTCTCGTCCACCAGCTTGATCATCTCCTTCGGCGGCCCCTTCGACGCCGGCTCCGTCGTCGACTCCTTCGTCATCGACTCGAAGAAACTCAGCGCATCCTTCTTCGCTATCGTCGACGTCTCTATGTTCTCGTTCTCCGTCGTCGTCTTCGACTCGAACAGACCGGTCGGCTCCCCGATCTTCGTCTCGGCCAGCTTCTTCTCCTCGCGGATGAACTGTTTAGATATTGTTTCCGGTTCTTTTTTAGCGTCGATGATCGGCGGCGTCTTGTGTTCGAGTTTCATGTGGTACTTCTGCTCCGACTTGGTCTCCGTCTGGTGCGACTCCAACGTCGACGAGATCGTCTCCGACCGCGACATCTCCGGCTTCTCGAGCTTCTCCACCGTCCGCGTGGTCTGCGACATCGACGACGACGAGACCAACGGCGGCGGTTTTATTGTCGGGATCGGCTGCGTCGACGCGATCGCCGGCTGTGAGATTGTCTGTTTCGTGGAAAATGACGCTTCGCTCTTCTTCAAGTCGGACTACGTAAATTATAGAAGAGAGTTTAACACGGGGCTGTGTTTTTTGGGAGGATGGTGTGACCGTTTCCGTTTTGTAGGAGTTCTGTCGTTTGTTCCGATTTGAACGAGGACTTTTTGTTACTGTTTTGTGAATTACAGTACCGAGAATACTATAACTGTTTTAGTTATTTTGCAAGGATATTTTGATGAAATGTTGTAAATTATATTATATATTTGATATATTATATATATTATTATATATCATATATATTATTTTATAATATCATATATATTATTATATATTATATACATATATTATTATATATATATATATATATGCATTATATATTATAATATAATTAAACTATCGCAATCAATTTTATAGCTTGCTATATACTTGTAAATTGCGATACCATCAAGAATACTATAATTATTTTACTAATTGCTAGGACATTTTGATAATGTTGTAAAATATTATATATTACATATATTATTTTATATATTATATACATTACTATATATTATATATACTTTTATATATAATATATATTATTATACATTATTATATATTATATTATAATTGGACTATCGCAACCAATTTTATAGCTTGTCATATACTTGTAAATATGTATTTTTCTAAATACAAAATGTTGTTTAAAACCT